CGGGGATCTTCACCTCCCACTGCTTCCCTGCACACAGTCGGCAGGATAATGAACTAGCACCAAGCTTAGCTATGGCAGAGGACAGTTTGTGAAATGACACGTTTATGGACGGAGTAGAAAACATTTATTTTTAATTTTGATGTCATGTTTGATATGTTTTCGTTTCCACCCGCATAAATAATGTGTGTGACGTGAACAAAAAAAAGAATGTGCCTGTTGTGAGTGAGCGGTCCTTGTGGTAATGTCTAGTGATGGCAGTGCGGCATTAGTCGGAGGAATACGGTAATGCAGGAGCGGAGCCCGGAGATCGAGAATCGAGTAACAAGCGGTCGGCGTGCTGCTGAGTGCACAGCCAGGAGGATGTGACTGTCATCGCTCCGCACTCAATGGATGTTTAGGAGTCGCTCACACTCTCATGTCGGCCGGAGAACTTTGGGATCTTGCACTTTGTATTTAGCACAGCGCTGTGACGCAGGCACCGCTCGCCAGTCGCCACTAGTCTGCAGCCCATTCCCTGAGCAGTGGCGTGGAGTTCATGGCACTGTGTAAACAGGGAGAGGAGAAAGAGGGAGAGCTGAGAGAGAAAATGCGGGGAGACAGCCGCTCAGAGAGGGCTGCAGCCGGTCACCCTCTAAGAAAGCTCCCTTGAGTTGGACTGCAGCATGTCAGCAAAGTCTAAGGGGTCATCCTCGCCGACAGAGGGAACATCGTCCAAAGCCAAGGTGAAAGAACAGATCAAGATTATTGTGGATGGTTTGGAATTAGTCCTGGGAGACTTGAAGGATGTAGCTAAGGAACTTAAAGAGGTAAGGCAATCAAAGGGAGGGGTGATGATGCTGCTGCTGCCCTACGCCAGGGAGAGGTATACTGATGTTCTCCCAAACTCTCAGGTAACTGTCAAACACAAGCAGCTTGCTCCTGTCTTGCCAGCAGTGTGAAGGTGTGCATTGGCTAGCATCTCTAGTCATAGCCATGGCTGGCTTTCTGTGAATGGGAGAGAGTGTAACATGACTGAGAGCAGAAGGCAAACATTGCTGAAAGTAAAGTGATTGGCATGCATGCTCTACATTCAGCTTGTATAGCAGGAGAGACATGGAAAAGGCACGCTATGCCGCAATGAGAATTTCTTAGATATGCGTATGATTCCTGTCTTTTCTGATGTTCAATGACTAGCTGTGTAATGAGCAACTCATCTCCCCCATTGCTGATGTGAGCAGCACATGTAAGCAATGTCAGTACATCTGCCATATAGGCACATGTATGGATTTATCCACCTGGCAGGGACTCTTTTTTTTTTTTATTAATGGGTTTCATATTCCATTCAGCAGTATGAGAAGAGATGTCCTGCTGGAGAGGAAGAAGGCTGCTGCGAAATACTTCAGGCTGGAAGCACTTTTTTTCTGAGATGAGCAATTTGTAGTGCACTGCCTAAACTTAATTTAATGACTATTAAAGGCACATCAGTTTACACAGCACATTGCATTCACATCAGTTCTTGCCCTCGAGGAGCTTACAATCTAAAGTCCCTGCATCAGACCCATATATACAAGGGCCAGCTTAGACAGCAGTCAGTTCACCTACCAGCATCCACAAAAGTCTGTTTGTTACAATTAAAACTGTTTAGTAAACATTAGCTTCCTATAAAACTTTAAGGTGAAAAACATCCACAGCTCTTTACTGTAGATTAAAAATATTGGTTTTATGTTCCCTTGTATTCTCTGATATTACTACTCCTGCCACGTTAATCATACACTTGAAAAATAGATGGGCTTGTATTTTATATAAAATAGAATGCCATATCTTGTTTCAGACGGCTAGAGCTGAAGAAATAAGCAGGCAGATCTGTCATTCTCAGATAAGGAAAATATGTGTTTGAAAGCCCCCAAACGTGATTAAATTAACAACTCCGATGCTCAAAACAAATCACTACAGCATTTTCTGGAGGCATACTTCTTTTTTTTCTTCTGTAGAGAATGAGTCAGCTCCTGAAATAATGTATGATAATATAACGCACAATGGTTACATTTGTGGATTCAGTGCCAGTGGTTTGGAAAAGTAATTATGTAAGTGCTAAGATAAATAATAGATTTTCTCTTAATAATTGCATGAAGTGATTAAAAGGAATGCATAGGAAAGGGTCTATCTGTCTTGTACATATTCTGGGGGAAGCATGTATGCCAGTGGCAAGTGTCAGATTCCTTGTGGTTTAAAAGGAGACATAATGTAACTCGGAAGATAATGTCAATGGCAGACAAATGTAGCTACAATACAGCTAAGGGTTTTTTTTTTTTTTTTAAAGCAGTTCACTAATTCATAATTTTGCTCCACAACTGGTCGACAGATGGTTGGATTATGCACTGAAATTCTACTGGAAAGATTTTGTACTTTGACTGATAATCCTTTGTTTGCCATTTATATAAGACAGGCATTCATTTTATTGAGTGTGCAGCTTCCTCTCAGAGCTGACTGCAACAGGTCTTTATTTTGACAGAGCAATGCCTTGGCATTTAATTGTGTGATAGCAACAGTGGTGATTTCACTGCAGAAATAGGGCACGTGCCTTTAGGGAAGGTACATGAAGGGCAATATGATAATGTCAGAAGGCATATCTCTATGTGAACCCAATGCACATTGATGGCAGTTCTGCAAGAACATGGGGTACAGCCACACCTAGACCCTTTAGGCTAAATTGGGCCCAGGCTGGGCTTGCACCACCAATGGGGTGTGGAGGCCCCCACAAGGCAGCAATGGCATCCTTACTCAGAGGCTGGACTAAATAAAACAGAACGAGGTTCCAAATCTAAACACTCATTTCATCCTGCAAATGGCCTGCCCTCACAAATATAGTATAATAATTTGTCTTCTTTAGCAGACCTTTAGAAATTTACAGCTTAAAATGTACTTCATTCTGCACAATGCCAATGAACAGGTAATAAATAAGAGGGAGGTTGATATATTTTCCCCCCTTTTCCTTATGAGCCTAGGGCATTGTACCTTCTGTACCCCTGGCAGTTATCCCATAATCATCACTGTAACTGGCCTTGCAAAGGGAAGGTGGCTACCTGCATATTTGGATTTTGGACAAAAGGGCGATTTGCTAAAACCTATGAGGTTTACTAAAGGTCAGGTAACTGGTGTGTCTTTAGGAAAAGTATACGAAAGGCAATATACGAAGGGCAATATACGAAGGGCCAGAAGAGATATATGTATGTGAATTACATACACAGTGATGGCATTCCTACAAGGATTTGGGGTATAACTGCACCCAGGCCCTTTGAGCTGAACCAAAGCTGTGCTTGCACCACCAACAGGATGTGGAGGCCCCCCAGTAAATTACATCATTATGGGTGCAGCAACGACCTCTTTGTTCAGAGGCTGAGCTAAAAAAAAACAAAAAAAACAGGACAAGGTGCAAAGTCTGAACACTGATTATAATCTGCAAATGGCCTGCCTCCCAAACATAGTATAATAAAACAAATTATATTAGTTAGAAACTTTAGATACTTAACTAAAAGAAAATCTTAGAAAATGTGCTTCATTCAGTAGAGTACAATGCCAACACCAATGCAAATGTAATGAGGTAATGGTTTGTCCCCTTGCCTCATGGGCCTGGGCAGTTGTACCTTCTGCAACCCTGGTGGTTATACCCGATACCATCACTGTAACTGTCCTTGCAAAGAGAACGCAGCCACCTACATATACTGGTTTTGGAGAAAGGGTTAATTTGCTAAAACATATGAGGTTTACTACAGGTTAGGTAACCTGTGTGGAGCCAAAACAGATATTTCTATATTTATAATTTCACCAGTGTGATTGGATCTTCGCTGCAGAACCATGGTTTGAAGCTAGCGTAAGCCCACACCCTGTGGTACTGTAGGACGCCTCTGTATGATGTTTTGACTTATAAACCACTTTTCTAGAATTGGAACTTGGCATTTAGATAAATGTTTGTTTGCTTATGTATGCACATTGTAATAGCATAACACAATCATACGGATTATAACTAATAATGAAATGTCAAAGTATTCTATTCCTTTTCTCACTGTGACATAAATGGTTGGAGAATTTGAAATTATGAATCAGTCACATTTATTTGGAACATAGCAGCATTCATTTTCTCCTGTTTTGGTGATTCACTGTGTAATCATCCTGAAAGCAATAGCTGATTAACTTTTTTTTGTCCCACATTTGAATGTCAGAGGCAAATAATTCAATTAGAATTGATTTATTTCCTTTTTTCCCCCCTGTTCTTTGAAAGATATTTGTTTAAGATAGATTTGAGAGATACTCCTGTAAAACCAAGTCTAATTGTGATTGGCGCATCACTTCCCAAGCAGATTAGACATCAGGAATGACTTAAGCAAGATTGCAGATTGAAATCCCTAATCTTCCGCTCTATTTTTTGGTTCTTTGTGTAAAGAAAACTACACATCTTGTTAAAGAAAGAAGAACTGACAGTTTAAAAATGCCTGCAGGAGTTATTTGCATACTAACTTTGTGCGTTTATCTCTCAGCTCACAAATCACACCCTGACAAGTGTTCTTTACAATAGTGGAAGTGACATATTCATTTATCACGGGAAAATTATGTAATTTTAAGAACATAAGTGCCAAAAGCTTCATAACTGGATGGCACAAATGTCAGAACATCAGCATTAAAATACACTTAGATTATATTTACACTGGTGGCAGACATCTTGAGGGTGTGACCAGTACTTATGTAAATATTTGACAAAACTTGTATTACTGACAGTCAAAAGGGTTAAACTACTCATATTGACAAACATTTCAATTTGTTCTCCAATGCAGGCGAAATGCATAGCTATGAGGAGAAAATTTTGTTAAGGTAAATCCTTAAATGGGGGGGAAACGTGGGGTCCCCCTTAAAATTCCATACCAGACTCTTGATCTGAGCATAGGCCTGGCAGGGCTGGAAAGGGTGTGGGGACGAGTGAGTGCCCCCCCTCCCTTCCCTACCAGGCCACATGCCCTCAGCACTTTTCCAGGGTCGCCCCTGAAAAAGCACCTTGTCCCCGTGCCGATGGGGACAAGAGCCTCTTCCCCACATGCCCTGGGACGTTGGTTGTGGGGGTGTGGGCAGGGGGACTTATTCACATCAGGGTACCCAGATGCGGCCCCTCCTTGTGAATGAGTAAGGGGTACTGTACCCCTACCCATTCACTAAAGGGTTAAAAAAAAAACTGACTTTTAGAAAAAATTTATTTTTATCTACGATTAAATTATCAACGTTTAGTTTAAGTAATTTTATTTTTATACCCTCCCCTTTAATTGAGAAAAAAAACACAACAAAGGATTTTGACAAGTCCTTTATTGTTTAAAAAAAAAATGGATCCACCGAAGTAATCCAGGGTCAATCCCAACGTCCAGTGTTGTCCACGACGCCAACTTGACGAAATAAAAAATAAAACAATAAAAAGTAAATATAAATACATTTTAAAAAAAAGACAACCGCCGTCCCATCCGCTCGCGACGTACTCGCTCCACAGAATGGCATTTTGACAGATGGCGACAAAACATAAACAATTGGTCGGAGCTAGCGGTGACAGCTCGCTCCGCCCAACTGTGTACAGTTTTACGTCATCTGACAGGTGAGCCATTTTTGGGCAAAGTCATCATGACTTTGCCCAATCATGGCTCTCACAGTTATCTGTGCCCTGATTGGGCAAAGTCTTGCACCTGACCTGTGGTCAGGGGCACGCCTTTAGCCAATTAGGGCTTCACAAGGCGCATTGCCTTGTGTGGCGTTCAGCGGGCGAACACACAAACTAGCGATGTTTTTTTGAGTC